GTCGACTCATCTCCCAGTTGAGTTTTTGAGGAATATTTCGGAATCTAAGGGAGATAGCGAAATTTTCGTAATCACATTTATTATAGCACTCAACCGGCTCCACAAAAAAAGTTATAACAAAAATTTGGCTACCTCCCTTAGATTTCGAGATACTCATTGAAAACTGGTCAATAGTCGAAATTGATTTGTACTACTTTACCATTTCGCTACTGAATTTAAAGTGACTATCTTGAAAATTAATAGTCAACTGAAACTTTAGGAAAATTGCATTATGGTAAAAATTTTCATGGAATTTACTGGAATTTCCAGCCAAAAATTTTCTTTCATTATCTACATGGAGAAAATTATTTGGTGAATTTCACCAACTAATTAATTAAAATTCAGAAAGGATTTTTCAATTGCATTCAATCAATTTTTACTACCAAACTAGATGGTCAGGGCATATATACATTTGTAAACAATCCCGCAATCATTTATATCGTGGCAATCGATCAATGTCTCCCGTTGAAGATATTTCTGCAGTAATCTACAATTCCTTGTTAAATTTGATCCATCAACTAAATCGACGAACGTTTATTGAAAATTTAACCTTTTTTTTATTGTTATTAACAAAGGGTTGTCGAATGAAATTGAACAATCTTTTTCTGAATTTCAATTAAATAATTGTTAAATTTCACCAACTAGTTGTTGAAATTCCCCAAATAATTTTCTCCCTCTAAAAACTAGTATTCAATCTGGAATAAAATTCAAATCGACAGCTTATGTTTCTCAAACATTGTTTCTCAAATATCTTGAAAACGCATCAGTCTTACTCCTGAATAAAATAAAACGACTGCAGAATAAATTTAATTCCTTGAATACCCCCGGGGAAACCCCCCGAAGGTTTATAAAAATCATCACCCCTGTGAGCGCGGGTCGACAAAGCTATACATCATGTGTTCAGCCCGACGTCTCCCCTCCCACCCATCGTCAACCCATCACCTTATCAAAAACCCCGTTCACCCCAAAAAAGCGATTATTCACCTCCCATTCGCCCTCGCGCTTTTTCATCTGGCACTTGAGTGCTCCCTCGGTACATTTTTGAGAGTGGAAGAAGCAAGTGGCCACTTCAGCTGCTTCGCAATTCTCCGGATATATTGGAATTCAAGGCTATCACATGGTCCATTGGAATCTATTCTCCCCTACGTGCCTCTCTCATCACTTATATGCACTTAAAAAGCGAATTTTTGTACTCTGCAAAAAGAATGCCTTTCACCAGTGGCAAATGGTACTTGAGGCAAGTGTGCTCTTGAAAAGTCGTGAAAATATTATATTCTATATATTATGTCTTTCGGGGACTATATTCTTAAGCCCATATCGTATACTGTTGGAAAAAAATTGGAATTTCATGGACAGTTGACTAATAATTTTCTGGCGAGTGATATGAATTCAATTCAGAGAAGAAGAATCATAAAATTTCAGATTTCACTGATAACTTCCTCAATTCTCATTTCGACCAATTGGAGTGCAGTATTCGGGGTCATGTGATACTTTTATATCACACGGAGAGAAATGTTGAATAAAAATTACGTATCTTTTCCGTAATTCCGGAGCGCAATGTGGCTGTAGGAATTTTTACGGAACTGTCACGGAATTTTTCCAGAGCGTTCCGTAATTTTCACCTGCACGGGGAGAAATGTTCAGTAAAAATTACGGAACTCACACTTCGTTCACCGATTACGGAATCGGCTCAGAAATTTTAAGTGACGGTATCGTCATTTTTCACCGTGAGATTCAGATAAAAATTACGAAACGCTCTGGAAAAATTCCGTGACAGTTCCGTAAAATTTCCTACAACAACATTTTGCTCCGGAATTACGGAAAAGATACGTAATTTTTATTGAATATTACTCTCCGTGTGCTCCTGTGAACAATTACGATGTCGTCACTTAAATTTTCTTAGTCAATTCCGTAATCGGTGAGCGATCTGTGAGTTCCGTAACTTTTACTGAACATTTCTCTCACTGCAGTTTTATCTTTTAAATTGTTATTGCTATAACACCATAACATAACATGATATATCATTATATAATTTTTATGGAAAGATTTTTAATCAAATTGCCATAATTTTCAATGACGAAATTTTTTGAAATTTTCGTAAAACCGCCGCTTGACAAAAATTTCAGCCAAAAATTTTCAACAGTTTATTCCCTACACTGATAGAAAGGATTAGTTATTGTCAGCGAATGGATTTGGTTGAAGACGAGGATCTATTCGGTCTCACCAAATGTTCATTCGTTAATAGTTGAAAAATGTACATATGAGAGGCCTTGTTTGACTCGATTTTCACCTTTCAAGTGAACCATTCGTTAACTATCAACGAATATTTATTTGGTTATATTCAACTCCGCCATTCGTTAATAGTTGACGAATCTCGTTTGGAATAAATGAATGAGTCTATCAGTGTACAATTATTTCTTCCACTAAGATTGGCCACCATGAGCGTAAAAAATGCTTTTCTTTATAGTGTGAAAATCACTTCGTGTACACGCAAATAGTTTGGTATATTACGCTTTATTTCCGGTCTGTTTATCCCGCGTCCTTCCTCAATGCTTTATTTCCCTTTCTTCCCGGTCTTTTCTGCCTGGTACATTCGAGGGGGAGAAGGGGCCCTGTTTGATATTCAACAGGGGAATCGCTCTGCCTCTCGCTTTACTCTCTCATATTCGGCTCGAGATATTGCACTGCCTCAATGTCCCATGCATTTCATGTTAGTTTGAAATGCATAACGTTCCATTGGAATTCCTTCATCCACCCACCCACCTCTCCCTTCTTTATCTTTATTTCTGTCTCTCCATTTTATTTTCCCTTTTTGATACATCAAAGCTCAATGTATTACGTCTTTCCGTGTTGTTTACATCAGGGGATTCTCCCGGAATCTTTTCATGGTGCGGTGCACGCTGGATTGCCGGGGTTTATTACCTCACACCAGGTACAATCCCCCACTCCCCCCCCCCGGTAATCCTTGTTAATTCGAACGTCTTCAAAAGTCCCTCGTTTTCGAGAGAGAGATAGAGAAAAATCTAGAGATGTTTGAGAGGAGAAAAAATCTTATCAAAGTGCAGAAGGTGTGTTTTTTCCCCCTGGTGATATCCTTGAGGGGAGGGGAAATGGGTATTGCTGTCAAGTGGCAATTGCCATCTGTTGTTTTTTCTCCCATTTGTTTCTCCATTTATTTTTGCCCTCAACGTTAATTGGATCGGACGAGATTAAAACGGGATTAACCGGGAATTGCCAAGACGACTTTATTGCCCTGTTTTTTTTATTAATTTCGTTTCGTAATACGGAATTTCCTCGGGTGAGACTCTAATTAATGGTGGATCATTTCTGATGATTTTATTAATTGTGTTTTCATCCTGTGAAAATGCTCTGTTATTATTTATTTGTGCATCTCTCTTCAACTTGATTATATCAATTCGGAGGACTTGAAATATATCATGAAAATTAGTGAGGAGTGAAAAATTGATGGAAAGTTCAGGAGTAATTTCACAATATTGCAATGATAAATGATTTTCTATGCGTTTATTTGATGGTTAATTTTCGTTGCTCATTGAGAAGAAATGGAACAATTTTTGTCGGGAATTTGATGGCGAGAAATGAGAAGAAAATTGCGCCTCACAGTGCAGTGAAGTGTCTATCTACGGAGAGTCCTCCAAGACGACTCAATTCCACACGCACACAGGCGAGTATCGATTCTATTTTGCCACCGATATTACGTAAACATGGAATAATATTACTCACTCGTGCAGTGTGAGGGAGAGAGAGGGAGTGAATTAAGAGATGAACAAATTCATAACAGTAATAAATTTGTGGGATGATGATATACAGTTGTTAATCGAAAGTTCGTTGATTGCATGATGGCCATTTCGTACATTTTAGGCCCAATATACCCGTTTTCGGTGGTAAACTGCGGTGAGACCAGGGTGGGAACGGGGGAAACAGTGAAAATCTACGAGCACTCCAACCAATTACCTGGAACAACCCTGGGTATGTTCGGACGCGTGCAAATTACTACTATCTCATCCTGATGGTCTGCGTATTAAACTTATTTATGACCTTGAACCCGTTTCGAATATGAAGGCCTGTTTTTTTCGGTTTTATTCAATTTACAAATTTTTATTTTTATCGGTGCACAGCAAATTTTTACTTTATAAAGTCCACAGCAAAAACGAATATCTGATTTTACACACCTTTTGTAGATATTTTTCAGACATCAAAAGACGTCTGGATAAAATGAAAATGTGTCTGAATTTCAGACGAACAGGTGCCCAAACATCTTATTGATGTTTGAAATTCAGTCAAATTTTCATTTTATTCGCATGTTTTCTAGTATCTGAAAAATGTCTACAAAAGGTGTGTGATTGTGGTTGAGAATTATTTAGCGAATTGTTTTGGAATTTTTCGCAAATATCAATAACTTCTCCACATAAAACCCTCAATTTCGTTGAATGCAAAATTCCATAATGGATTTGATTTTTAATTTAATTCAAATTCACAACATTCTAAATTCACACGCAGCTGTCATTATAATTTCAAATAATTTCTGACGATGAAAGAGTGGATTGAGGAAATGTGCAAAGGCCATTTATGAATTTTTTGAATCATCAACTCCACATCCAGAGAAATATGACTTATTAGAATTAAAAAACCTTCATTTGAATAAAATAAATCAGTTCAATTAAGAGCGCGTAATAAAACTTTTATTCAAACTTCACCTTGATTTTTATCAGTTATTCACATCAAATAATTTTTTTAAAAATACAAACAAATCATATTAATTGAAGACTCAATTGGGAATAAATAAATCATACATTTCCTACCATCAAAATATTTTCGTCGAAACAGAGCTATGACTTTACTATTTCAACAAAAAAAATTCAAATAAAAAAATTTCACTTCTTTCGCCGTAATTTCTCTGGGTGCCCTCCCACATTTTGAAGTAATAAATTCACGTTACTCACCCCTCATGTAAATGTAGGCAGTTCCTCGCATGTTTCTACGAGTCAAAACAACGAGATTCAGTATGTTTCCGATGATACCCAAGCAACAGATGGCCGGCAGCACAATACCGTAACAGACCCGCTTGAGGGAAGCTGTTCTCGGATCCTCCAGGATCTCAAGCTCTTCCGGCAGCAGGCAAATACGTAGCTCTGCATCACTCGCATTCACTGTTTCCGTCATTGTGACGTTTATTACACTCTCTCCCTCCCTCACCACTCACGCCCACCACTTTACACTCACTTCTCTCTCGGTGGCATACGTATTGATTAGACTGATTACTAAAATTTTTATCTGTTCATTCGCTCGAGAACAATTCCAAGGGCTTCCTACAATTCTAAACATTCTTCCGTAAAAAAAAAAATTGATAAAAACCGTTCACTCCAATCTTGCTTTAACTATCACAATGAGTTGAATTTTTTCATCTCCACAAGTCCGAAATAAATTAATAGAACACGATTACAGACTTTATTTTTCAAAAGGTTAAAGTATCAGTTGAAAGCTGAATAGAAAAGTAATGAATTTGATTTTTATTTTTGTTTTTAAGACGATTACAGCTTTTTTAGTTGAAATGTGTATTTCAATTGCTCGAGATTATTGCAGCTGTCATCGTGGCGTGCACCACCCCCTCCCATCCCCCGATAAATTCCCCTCAACAGGTTTTCATAATTGGAATAAATTTTCATGGCGGCAGTGACTGAGCATCGCGCACATTATCAACAAGTCGTGATGCTTCAAGGCCGCGATCCTCGATCGGACCTTGGACATTTCCTCCAATTAAATTCATTGAGGGTATTTTCAATGTGATAAATCAACCCCGAAGGCTTTCCCCGTCTCCCCCCACCTCGCTTTTATTCCATCGGAGATGCGGATGAATCTGCGAATGGCACGGAGACACCCAGACAAAAGAAGGAACGAATGTACCCCAGGTATGCACACGTTTTCGATATGCGAGAGCCCGTCTTTCTACTCGTAGTGCATCCACTCACGTATCCGTATCACGTCCGTCGCATTCGACATTCGACGCCGCGCACTACCAGTTTTAATAGACACGCCAATGGGAATTCCATCTACTCCACTGGTGTCTCATACTCGTGTCCACTGGTTCTTCAGTGGCATCAGTGCTGCAAAATTAATCCGATTTTCCAGTTTTTCTTTTCTTTCGGCTTTTTGAGGGAAAAATCTGGAACAGAAAATCAAGTTTGGAGGATGGAATTTATCCAATGATGAAAGTTTGTTCAGATTATTTAGTGGAAATGAGTAAAAATGGGGAGAATTTTAGGAATTTCAAGAAATTTCATCAATTCGAAATTTCCAATTTAACTTGAAATTTCACAAAAAAGGGCAACCTACATTAATGCATTAATTTCAACTTTCTCATCTCCAAATTCGTCGTTTCGCGTTACTTCCGGTGGCATTTCCCTTTCATCGAATGAAACCACTATTTATAATTCACGAATCGTCCCCTCCGATCATCAAAAAGTTTCCGTGCCTGAATATTGCCCCAGCCGAGGTGATTTCCAAGATATTGATACGTCTTTTCCATACCCCTGACTCAAGTTCTGAAGCTAGAAAATCCGTGTGGGCACAGCCGTCTCGGAACTCGGTAATTTCCTGGAGGCACGCGTGTTTCGCGTGACAATCGGCATATCCCGAGCGGCTCGCGATTCTCACACTTACAACCCGCCACCCCCCTGCCACCCGAGAAAGTGGCAAGGTGTAGCCCCCGCACACGTGAAGGTAAATCCGTGGGTGTATACTATAAATGCGAGCAAGACTCGGAGTTTTCCATAGACCAGCTGGTGTTGCTGCTCTTAATGCAGCCACGCGAAATTCCAGACTGTATTATGCATTTGAAATTTCACCGCTACATGTATACCCATGTGAAAGAGGACTAGACCTGATTTCCAACGGTGAAAATTACCATAAATCTGTTGAAATATATATTCATTATATTTTATCAAGATAATCCCTACCGAGTTCACCATTATCAAAGGAAATTCTAAATTTTCGCCATTTTTTACCGGTAAAAAATAAGAGTGAGAGAAAGAGAGGAAAAAATGAGGAGAATCCCCAGGCAATTTTGCGCGCACATCCCCGTAGCTGAGATTTATCGATTAAAGATCTACGAGCCACTGGAGAATCCGCTCCACGTCGTCGCCTTTCTCGAATAACGGAGGCTTATCGATGACTCCCCAAACGTTACCCGATTTATCTTGTTTGATGTAAAAAATGATTGGGTGAAACAAAAAAATATATATTGGGTGAATGGATACCGGAGGCTTGTACCCCGATAGTGTTATGTCATTGAGGTCGCGTGTAATATTCCTCTGAAATATTTTCTGGGCCCTCCTAATTCTCCGGGAGAGGACATCGCACCTGACGCAGGAATTTATCCGCTTGCAAACGAATATTAGCAATTTTTGCATCAAAGGGATTTATTTTCTTTCTAATTTTTCTGGTGGGATTTAATCGGCCAATTTAGCTAAATCTTCTCGTATTATCTGAACTGTTGGAGAAAAAAATAAAATTTCATGGACTAGCAGGAGAATTTAATTTGGGGGGAAAAATTAATTAAATTTTACATTTAGCACTAAATTCTCAATTTTTACCTGATTTCTAATAATTTTCATCGAATAATTGAACTAAACTCTACCTTCTATTCATTTTTCCATTAAATTTTGAATTTCCAATGACAGAATCCCTTGAAATTTCATGTGTTGAGAATTTGTAAGAAAAAATGTACCGGAAATTTCAGGCAAAATTTTTTTATTCTTTAGAGAACTGATATTCATTGCCTCAGTGAATACATATCACTAAATATCAGATGAAATATAAATGAATGGATGCACTCATTGACAGTCAATGAATTATAATTCCGCGGAGTGGTGAACAACTGGGGAAAAACGAAAGAATTTTCCCAATTGGAATCGAAAGAAATTCATCGAACTCAAATAGCGTGATCTCTACATATTGATTCTTTAAATGCTCCCGCATGACAAAGCCCATTAGTGTTAATTAGCCCCGAGACTGGAGCATTGCAATCAAGTTAATTACGATTCGATCTGAAGATTCCAAACGTGATTTCTCCAACCCCGTATCAGATATTTCCCGTATTGTCTGCAGAAATGCCCCTGGAAATTCCCGCCTGCAATGATAATAACACCAATCCTCAGAAAATCTAACTTTAATTCCCGGGGAGTCATTAACGCAGATTGTAATGTTTTTTAAGATGAGTTTTCTAGTTAGAGGATAGGAAACTCAAGAAAATCCGTTTGATCTTTTGAGCGCGAGATCAACGCCGTGCTGAGGGAGTAAAACTCAGCAAGTACTTTCCACCCCTTGGTGTGGGATTAATAGCCTGTTTTTAGTGCTAGTATATATCCCATTGGCTTTTCGAGGAGTTGAGTGGAAAAGTGAACAAGACGGATAATTGGGTTGGTTACAGTGGTGAAGATCTCACCGATGCACTGGGAAAAAATTTTTAATTAAAATTATCCCGAAGAAATAACGAAAAATTAATTAATGCAATTTACATTGTTTAACATTTTTGGCTGCAATTTCTGGTGCACTTCTTGAAAATTTTATTCAAGTGACGTTTTCACTGAAATTGTGAGAAATTTCTTCACGGAAAATTCACAAGTTGATGATGAAATGAATGGAAACTGTGAGATACTGTTGGTTTATGTTCAATTATTTTAATTTGTCTTTTAATTTTTTTCATTCATTAAAAATGTCATGTTATGATCAGAAATTTTAATGAACGAAGGAATTCGCGTCTTGTGGCTAATAAAAAATGTTGAATTCCATCAAATTTTCTATGGAATTTTACTGTCCATGAAAGTTCAATTTTTTTACAATATTTTAATCATGAAACAAAATGAAAGTGTCACGAAAATTCCCCTTTGTTGTCCTGATTTAGTAAGCTTAATTAATAGAGGGGAAACATCTATATGTCGTCCTCCATTTAAAAAAATAAAAAATATTTCACTCCTTTTTTCTTTTCATGTGAGAATACTGATTTTGTTCAATCAGCTAGGTTACAACGGACAATAATAAGGGCAGTGGACTAGTGAGGCAAAAAAATTGCGCGATAGTTTGGATGAGCTCCAACAATCTCTTATCTCCCGTGACTTTATTCCGAGTTGACTCCAAGCCCAGAAGTTGTTTGCCTCAATTTCTTCTTCTCTTTATTCATTAAATTTATAAAATCCCACGAAAAAATGTGGTAAAAATATTTTTTAAACCCGGCGAATCTTGAAAAAAACGTTTTACTGCGTATTAAAAAAATTGAGATTTGAGAGAAATTGTCGACTGGATGGAAAAAAGGTTATGCAATTTTTATTCCTTTTTGCAGATAAAAAAAAACTAGTTTTACGAGTGTCGTCAACGTTATCGGGACAGCCATGAACATCAGCGTGAACGTGAAATAAACGAGAAACTGTCAGCACTTGGTGTGTCCCAGGAAATGAGAGAGATTCACACAGCCATTGGGCCAGGTTGTATGAGGTACGTTAATTAAACAAATTTATAGACCAATGGCTGTATTCAACAATTGTAGTTGGACCAACAGTGTGAAACTATTTTATTTTCGTTAATAATTCATGATGGGGCTTTTAAGAGCCATCTGAGCATGTGTCTTTTGGCGTGGGTCGTGTGCGGTCTGACCACTGCGCGAACTATTTCCACTGGGATTCACTCTATCGTACTGCAAATTAACCCTCGGTTAATTACTTTTGCCCTCAATGTTGTACACATTGTTCCTACAAATTTTGGCAATTATTTTTTTTACTCCATATCTCTATGGGTTTATCAAATTAAACACACTCGACCTTGATTTGCTTTGGAGTTTAAACTAGTCGCGAACTTCGTGCGTGCTGTTAGAAAAAAATTGACAGTTTAGAGAGACGAAAATGGTGGACATTCAAATTTCACTGATAATTCAATTCGCGATGAATTTTCAATTAATTGGAAGTTCAGTATTTCGATGGATTTTCTCGTCAAATTCTGAATTTTCACTTGAAGAAAAATAGAACTATTTTTTAAATAATTTCTCCATGCATTTATTTTCGTGCTATTTTATTGATGAAACATATCCTATTGACCGGTTTTTGACGAATATCTTAGAATCTAAAAGAGATAGAAAATTTTTTGTCATAACCTCTTTTGCAGAGCCAATTGAGAGCTATAAAAAAGGTAATGATAAAAATTTTGCTATCTCTCTTAGATTCCGAGAAACACATCAAAAACTGAATTAGATATCTTCGTCACTTTTCACCTGTTCAGCAGAAAATTATCCTTAAATATTTTTTGCAGTCAGACAATTATGGTCTCAATAAAATGTACATGTTACATATTATGTTGGGTGATTCGTAGTACAGAGCATTAATTTTCATTTCCATTTCTGAGTAGAAATTTTAGTTATCGTAATTTTCAAGCCAATGGCCAATTTTTCTATCGCAATTTTCGGAGGAGAAACTGATGACCTAGTTTACTCAAGTTTTGTTTCATTCAGTATGATGCTCGTGGTACCCCCGACAGCCATTTCCTGAAGACAAAACTTTTCGGAAAAGCATCCTACAGACATTGCCCATATACAATATCAAGTACCACGTTCTCAAAACGATCGCTGACACTATCTTTCTCTCTAAAACTTCCCGGTTTCCATTTACTTTGCCCTCTCTCGTTCCCTCTCTCCTCTGCAGCCAGAACAAACCCACCGTGTTCTCTTTAACCCCTTGAAGCACCCATATACATTACGTGACAGTAATACTTGCCCAATTTTTCTTTTTTTTTTCCCCTCTACCAACTGTCTGCTCCCTTTTTTTATCTGTCACGTGAATTTATCCTCACTTGATATCATCGCGGTTGAAAACAAAACTCGATCTTTTAAACGTCCAGCTATGTGCTCCCACTGTCCCGGTGGTTTCCAAGAAACAAAACTGTCCCTTGACTCGGAAAAAAAGTGTTCCGGGGGCGCCGAGAGGAGCACTGTGATATACATATTTCATCGTGACGGATTCCGGTCACGGAGCCCGCCCAAATTTTCCAAATGTTGTCTTCTCCCTGCTGTACATCCAGTGTCTCCATAAATCCGGAAATTTTTTCACGCGTGAAAACCAGAGAAATTTCTGTGCTCTTTTTTGCATCATTCGGGGGAGTTGTAAAATTGAAAGGTGGGGAAAGGTTTTACTGTTTGGGAAGGGATTGAGGACATCTCGATGGAGGAATTTTCCAAGTGTTCATCATCACCGATGGAAAATAATAAAATCGACTGAGCCGTTGTTGTAAATTGATCGAGCAGGGATGGGCAATAATATTAGATTTCGACAATACCGAAAAGGAATTATCTCCTTATATTGTTCAAAGTTTAACTATATTCAACAAATTTAAAATATTACAAAATTTATTAACTAAATTTTCCGATTCATGAATAGAATATTTGATAATATTGAAATGTAATTTTTTAGTTAACAAGCTAATTCTGAATTTAGGTACTTGATTTTCGATTATCCAAATAATCGTCAATGTTCCTATTTAAATTATTGGTTGATAGAATATTTCGAAATTTAAATGTACAAATTGATGGTCAATTTAATATTTAAAATTATAAGATTTATGTTAAAAATTGACAACTTTACAATTTAACGGTAATTGTGATTGATTGATATGCCTATCACTGTGCTCGAGCTTCGGAAAATACCCACAGTTTTAGTCAAATAAAATGAACGAGCTTGTTTTTCTCACTTTTATTTTTTTTAATTTTCTCTGCAAATTGATGAAAATTAATAAATTATCATAGCACTCCCCCCTAATTTTCGAAATGCTGTCTTTTTCTTGCTGTACATTGAGTGCCTCCATGAATTCGGGAGTTGTAAAATTGAAAGTTGGGAGAGTTTTTACTGTTTCTCAAGGGTTTGAGGACATCATCTCAATGAAGGAATTTTCGAGATGTCCAACATCACGGATGGAAAATACTAAAATCCCCACTGATCAGATGTCGTAAATTGTTCGAGCTTCGGAAAACATCCACGTTTTTACGAAAATAAAAAAAAATGTGGTCATTTCCCCCACTTTGCCGTAGTTTTTCCAGTCTTCTCTACAAATTGGTAAAAATGAATAAATTATAACAGCACCCGTTCAAATTTCACAAATGCTGTGTTCTTCATGCTATACTCTGATTGCCCCTATAAATCCGACAATTTTTTGTTCTTTTTTGCTTCATTCGGAGAGTTGTAAAATTGAAAGTTAGGGGAAGGTTTTACTGCTTCTCAAGGGATTGAGGACATTATCTCAATGAAGGAATTTTCGAGATGTCCAACATCACCGATGGAAAATACTAAAGACGACTGATCAGACGTCGTAAATTGTTCGAGCTTCGAAAAACACCCACGTTTTTACAAAAATTTAAAAAAATGTAGCTATTTTTCTTAGTTTTCCTTAATTTTTTCAATCTCTTCGACAAATTGAAAAAATAAGAAAATCACACTAGTAATGAAATCAAAAAAATTCAGCTAAATATATTCTTGAAGTCTTCATTAATTAAAAATCCGATAGCCCGGTGGCCTGGCGTAGTGGTTAAGGCCGTTGCCTCACAACGGATAGGTTCCAGGTTCGATTCCTGGCCGGGTAGAATGGTGAGATCTAACCATTTTTAAAGTCTTGATCAATCGCCATATAGTCTCATCAGACTCGAAGCGATATAAAATAAGCATAAAAAAAAAAAAAAATTAAAAATCCGCATAGATTCGCATAGAAATTTCACGTTTTTTTTCGCGCAACACCACGAGTTGAAGTGCGCAATAAACCCAGGGATCGCCAAAAATCCTGAGAAAAGTAGAATAACGCAGAATGATGGGAAGCCCCTGACGCCGTATAAAAGGAAAATTCCGATTCTCCGCAGTCCACATAATTCCATTTGCTCCACATTTACCCCAGATTACTCGACTGAAATCGTGACAGGCATGGCCCATACGCAGTCGTCCACGGCATCTACCGAAAAACACTTAAATCCAACTTTTTCGATTGACATTGTTCTCCGGAAATTCGTCACAATAAGTTGTGTATCCAGTCTTATCCCAGTGCCGTGACTCATATATCCAGACATAATCCTGGCGGATCCAGAGGTGCTCGTCAATATGGTTAATCCATCGTCACACCTGTCCCACGGCCGTGACACTCAAAGCCCGAAGCCATTTCGTGTCGCCTAATCAGCCTTTATTACAGCAGCTAATTGTCCTACCATCAGCCAGTCTCACGAAGACTATAATAAACGGATGTTACATCAACACCAATGAGAATAAAGAACACAAGAGCGAGATATTCCGGAGGGCGTAATTAATCATCGGGGAGCCATCAATCAATCGATTACCCATCGAATTCAATGGAAGGTTCAAACGTTAATTCTGTATCAGGGCTGTATTTCTCGGCAAAAATTTGTCTTCCAATTTTCTCTGTCTAATTAAATTAATTCAGTAGCGAACTGGTAAAACGGTTCAAGTCGACTCATCTCCAAGGTGAGTTTTTGAGAAATATTTCCGAATCTAAGGGAGATAGCAAAATTTTCATAATGACATTTGTTGTAGCTCTCAATCGGCTCTACAAAAAAGGTTATAACAACAATTTTGCTATTTCCCTTACATTCCGAGATATCCATCGAAAACTGGTCAATAGTAAAAATTGACTTGTACCGTTTTACCTCTTCGCTACTGAATTTAATAAATTAATTCAATAAATTAACTTTACTTGAAATTTATAATTATGTCGATGTCTAATTAAACCGTATCATTTCGCATTAATTCCGTTCAAACTTATGAATTTGATGAATTCTCCGGAAATAAGGAAACTAAGAAAATTTTCTGCGGAGGATTTTTGGGGGAAATTTTTTCACCGAAAAATTTCGTCGGGACAAATACAGCTCTAGAGCCGTTAATTCCATCAATTAACAAACAGGTCCCGATACAAATTCCATCGGGTCAAGCCACAACGACTTTGCCCCTCCAGTAATAGTCTCAATAATTCAATTTGTAACGAGAAAAAATTTCCACTAAAATTAATCGAGAGTGGTTACTCGCCCGTCCCTCCCCCTCCCCATCCACCCGCCCCCTCACCCCTTCCCCCATACAAAACGCAATCCTTTTCAGGCCGACACTCTCACCTGGGGTCTTCACGGAATTCCGCATCCCTCTTTTTTTGCAGCCTCGTTTGCATTCGCTCGCGGCTAGACTCCGGTATCTCATTTTCCCTCAACCCCCTTCTCACTAACACCCACTCTTGGTTACCCGATAAGCCAATAAAGTCGCAGTAGAGTTCCTCGTTAACGCGTTCCTTTTTTTTTTTATCGCTCCAAAGTACCCGCCTAGGCAATGCTTTATTATGCAACATCAATTTAATCAGTGTCGTGCCAACTTTTACCCCCCATTTCTTATTTTTATAACATTTTTTTTAATGTACGAATGGGAGCTTTGGAGTCATGATAGAAGGGCGAAGGGGAGGGGGGGGGGTCGCAT